GGCCGCATCTGTCTGGGGGTCCTTCTCGACATGGAGAAGGCCTTCGACAGAGTGTGGCACGAAGGCCTGCTACATAAGCTGCTGGAAAATACCACCACCCACCGTGCGCTCGTGCGGTTAGTAGCGTCGTTTCTCCGGGACCGGAAGTTCGTCGTACACGTCGAGGGAGCCGACTCGGCGGTACGATGTATCAAAGCCGGTGTACCACAAGGTAGTTGTCTGTCGCCACACCTGTATGCGGTGTACACGGACGACATTCCCACCTTGGAGTAAAACGCCTCCGACTGGGATGAAGACGTACTGTTGGCCCTGTACGCGGACGACAGTGCGTTCTTCACGTCTTCACACAACGCGGCGTTTGCGGCGAGGAAGATGCAGCGCCAATTGGACCTGCTGCCCGAGTGGTTGGATAAGTGGCGGATGTCTGTCAATGTTGACAAAACGTCCGCCATCTACATCCGCCACATCAAACACCAACCCACGCTTGAGGTGCGAGGTCAAGCGATAACGAACCAGGACACCATCAGGTATCTAGGGTGCCGGATAGACCGCTCGCTGAGTATGGCGCCCCAAGTCGAACACTCTGTTCGACAAGCCAGGGCAGCTCGAGCGGTCCTTTACCCAATCCTGGCATCCAAGCTACCTGTTAAGACGAAACTGGGCGTCTATAAAACCTACATCCGTGCGCGCTTGACCTACGCCGCTCCGGCGTGGTATGCACTGGTTTCCGCCTCGCAGAGGCGCAGGCTCCAGGCGCAGCAGAACCTCGCCCTTCGAGCAATCGTGGGAGCCGGGCGTTACGTCAGGAACGACGTAATCGCCAGAGACCTGAAGATCGTGTCCATCGAGGAGTTTGTGGTCCGGTTGGCCCGTCGCTTGTACGACAGGGCTGACAACGGACCCCACTCACACCTGGAGAATATTGCTCCACTCCACGCCCGTCCTCCTGACGGACGTCCGCTCCCACGAGAGCTACTGCGGTCGGAACAGGCCATTGGGGGGCCGGACCCGACCGCACTTCCGCCGCTGTGCCGAAGACGATGTCGTCCTCGCGTTACACACCGCGTGTAACGCCGTACACCCGCAAGTGCCGCTACCGCGGTCAGGGATAGGGATGGCCGATGGCCACCTCACCACCGACCAGCTATTCGCTGGTCGAGATACATGCCCGAGTAATGGGGACAGGGCCCCCGAGACTCGTTTAAAGCAGGCCTCACGCCAGCTTCGTACATCATCACATTTGAATGCTAGAGATGTTTCTTTTGCTTTTGAAAATTATGATGAAATCTAAAAGTGTATAAGTAACGATTTTCGCGAATTTTCGCGCGGTGAGCACACACTGCGGGAACCACGTGGAACACTGCATGTTATGATGAAATTTTTCGACGAATCTTTATTAAGGGATGGCGTTCAAAAACAAATAAGTTTAATAAGCACAAATTGACGATTGATTGACTAACGGCCGGTTTAAACATTCAATCTACAGATAGTTTTTATTAAACGGTTTTATTTAGCTCGACCCGTACGGAATTTGTTTGTTTGGGTCAAAATTAGAAATTGAAATTTAAGCACCTTGCCGTTGTCAGATTGATCTGAAATTTGGTACACACATGTAATTTAGATGACAATACAATATTAATAAAAAAAATATTTAACAAAAAAAAACATAAAATAAAACCGTTTAACTTCAAAGTTTTTAAACGTTTTTTTTTTACTAGTGATAGGTATTTGACATTAGCTCCATATTTATTATACTTACGTCAAAGTTCTATCTCCAGTAACTAAATCTATCTGTAGATAGAATATTGAGGCGGTAAATCTGTCACAAGACTGCTGGTATAAATGAAACAAGCAAAGATCTTTCGCATTAATACATGTTTATTTTGTGTTATTAAACAAGAATCATGTAAATCATAGGAAAACATGAAGTTTAATATAATTTAGGCCGAATACGATACGTTGGTCGCGAGATACCTCGTCAACAAGACCCGGCGATTCAAATATCTTAATATTATTGAAACAATTTAAATTAAAACAAAAATACGAAAAAATAAAAACAGTATTCAATAAATTACCGTTTCCATTTACAACTTAATCTTGATTGCGCGTGGGATAGAGCAATTATTAAAAAAAATCGTCAATTCTAATTTAAAATATATTATAGTCTATACACAATTTTATCAACAGTAAGTGTCATACAAAAAGTGCGATCCAAATGTAGTTCATTAGTTCTCTAACAGTTAAACTAGTAGCAATTATACAATTATGATGACCTTATAAATTCATGTTTCAAATCGGTTATGTAACGCAAATTTAACATGTTCAATATTAATTATTAATACATACTAACAAATATATTTCAAATTATTTCGAGATAATTCAGAGTACAAAATCAATTAAAACAATCGCCTTCGTTTAATAAGGCAAATATTCCTTAGTTTAAAATCGAAGTCTTCAGTATGAATCGAATAATTTTACAATGAAAAGTCTAAAAGGTCTATAATTGCTTGACCACTCAAACATATTGGCCATGGAAGCGACTTGGTCAAAACATTACAATATATTACGATATCAGCCCCTATGGCCAATTTACGACATACATTTCGGCGTTCTTAACAACTCTATACATATCTAGCCGATATTTGTAGCTTCACAATTAGCTCGTTTTTACTTTAAATGTTATTACCCCGTTAACTTAAAAAAAACAAGTGTACTAATTTCTTTTCTTGTTACGTTATTGGCATAAATTAGGATAACGCGAATCTTACTTATGACAGTTTTTATTCTTTGTTTTATTCCGACTTGATACAACATTTTTCTCCATATGTTCATGCAACGCAGTTTTAAACGCGAGTAAGCTGGTAACACAAGTCTTTGATGCGGTTGAATGTAATGTGTAAATAGTGTCTAAACTAATGAAATATAAAATAATATATCAATTTGTGATTCCAAACGAGTTAGACTAGAATCTAATATAATTAAGCCTGGAAGCTCGCTAATTATTCTCAATGTTCCATCATTCATCATTCTTCGTAAGGAATCTCAAATTATAAAGCCAAAATTCACCATTATGTACAATCATTTAATTATAATACTTAGAAAATCGCCAAAAACGTTAGCTAAACAGAACAAAAATAGGCCTTCTAAGTTTGTATATTTCTTCTAAACGGTTATATTAGAACCACAGTGATCACCTCACCTCTCCCCTATTGCTATGCTTGATTTCTCACGGTGAGTGAATTTAAACTGTGCAAGTACATTATTTCCTTCTCATTAATGTTAAGACAAACAACAATCTTTCATGTTAAATCTTATTCAGCCACAGATAATGTTCTTTGAATCTGTATGAACAATATTATTTTCCCCCACAGTATTTATTTTTTATTAACTGGCACTTATATACTGCGGGTATGGTACTGTTGTAGAATGCAAATAAAAATAAAAGGAAATTTTAGGAATTTAAAAAAAAATGAAAGATTTTTAATCGAAAACTGTTCGTCTCGTTCAAATTGCTCGAACACGAATTAAATTTCGTCATCACTATAACACTTAACATTATAAGTCGAACATTAGACCCAAATAACAGATTCGTTGAAAACCTTATGGAACAACTTCAGTCTATGTTACAACGTGTAAAATACAAATAGACTTACATTTCGCATTCCAATTGAGCATATAAAAAAAACATATCAAAATAATAAAGTACTAAAAATGTTACGCTTGCTTATTAATCATCAATGATGTGCCAACTTTCAAGATTTTGTACAGATCAAAAAAGAGATTCTATATGTATTTATTTAATGCAATTTTGGTTAGTTATTATTTAAAAGAAAAATGTTTGTTCCAAATATTAATTTACCAAGGAAAGAAACCTAACTGGCAATTTGCATTTCTGAAAGATAAAAAAAGAAAACGTTGACCTAAAAAATGAGATAAAACAGTTTAATGATTGAAAATAATCAAGCACCCATCCGTAGTACCAAGAGCAGATCCGAATGACGTCACAGCTTCGTTGTCACACCGACGACAATACAAGTCTCAAAACGCCTCCATCTTCACATTGGTTCGTATTTACCCTAGGGCTAATTTTTTTTCGTTCCCTACATAGCATTTATTATACCCTGCACATATTGTGCACAAGCTGATATTTCTAGTGACAGTTCCAAGATTATTAAAATAGACTATGACCTCTCTATTTACTTTACCGAGCTGTCATTGTCAAATTTGACCGTAACGCCCCAAAGTTAGTCGCGATTCGTGTACTTTGTCCTTTTGTCACTAACGAAAATATCAACCTGCACTAGGCTACATATATATCTAAATTAGCGTTACCAATGTTAACCGTAGGTCTGTACGTCCATACGTAGTCGCGGGTGGTCCAAGCAACATTAGCAGCCGACGAAAATTAGGCAGACACAATATACACTACGGTAATTTAAATTTAAATTAAACTATACAAAGCTAATAATGTAAAAAAAGGCCGAATCGTTAGTCGCTACAAAATATGAGGTATATTTAGAATCATCGTTAGCAGCCATACGACATTGTACACTTGAGCGATCATCGAAATTTAACCGAGGCCTTCGACATCGCAACCTATACAAGAGTCGCCGAAGTGGCAATTTATAATCTATGCACTTAGAAATAAAGTTCATTAACTTGCGCGTGGCGTCGCTTCTAATTGCTTTGGTCGGGATTGGAGTTGAGGATGTCAGTCCGACGCAACGGCAGTTGGTACCATATTCTTTAGGAGATAGCGTCCATTTTCGGGTGCAATCGTGCGTCCCGTTGTAACGCGTTTTGACGATCGATCCGAGTCACACGGAGTGGTAATTCGACAACCTAATGCTAATGCTAGTCTAGAGTCTATTTTCGGGCGCGTTCACGGGACGCCAGCGTGGTGTATCCGTATTCGCTCCTGCTGTAGCGGCCGACGGAATCGAAAGTTGCAAACCGCGACCTACGCCCCAGGAGATAGGGTCCATTGTCGCTCGCGATCACGCCACCCCGCTGTCCTGGGCGTGGCTCCGCTTCTTCTCGCCCCTGTGGTGGTCGGGCGTGGACTTGAGGATGTCCGGCTGCCCGTGGTGCTGGTTGAGGGTGGACGTGTGCGAGCTGAGCGTGAGGGTCGCGTTGCGGTCGGAGCCGAGCGTGACCGTGGTGGCGTGCGAGTTGAGGGTGTTGTGGCCGGTGGTGTGGTGCGCGTGGTGGGTGTGGTGCGACTGGCTCAGGTGGTGCGCGTGCGGCAGCGTGGAGGGGCTCGAGTGGGGCAGCGTGGAGGGGGGCTTGCGCGCCGAGCGGTGGCTGCCGTTGCGCGTGAGCGAGCTCATCTGGGGGGTGCCGCCGCCCGCGCACCCTGCCCCTCCCCCGCCGCCGCCGCCGCCGGGCCGCAGCAGCGCGTTCTTGTAGTCGGCGATCAGGTGCGTCAGCTCCACCATCTGGGTGCGGTCGGAGGTGATGACGTCACATGGCCCAGAGTGACGTCACACGATCCAGAGTGGTGTCATCTGGTCCAGAGTGGCGTCACCTGGCCCGAGTGGCGTCACACGGCCCAGAGTGGCGTCACACGACCCAGAGTGGCGTCACACGGCCCAGAGTGGCGTCACACGACCCAGAGTGGCGTCACATGGCCAAGAGTGGAGTCACATGAACCAGAGTAGCGTCACATGGCCCAGAGTTGCGTCACAAGGCCCAGAGGTGCGTCATTTGGTCCAAAGTGGTGCCTCATGACCCAAATTGGCGTCACATTGCGGTTTGTGTCGGTGAGCGTCGATGTTTTTAAGCGTTTTGTCGGAGGTCCTTCTGTGTAACTAACGCGTGATGCAGTCTCTAATGTTAATGTTAATAATTACAACTGCAGTGGAGCCGAGCAACAATTTTTGCAATTTTTGCACGAATAGAAGTACCTCCTGGGAAATAATACGGCGTCACACAGAAGATTGGCGTGAAGTGGATGTATTAAGGTTTGGCGTTTCGTCCACTTCGAGGCCCAACTTTTTATAAAGGTTATATATGTTGCTTGACAAATTTTTAGATAGAGAAGAAAAATACTTAGATCCCGTTAAACGACATCAGCTAAAAGGAGACGGGAACAATTGTAATAAGTTGAGATACGGTTTGTTTTAAAAAAAACCTTATATTTTTCTATTTCGATATGTTAATAATCAGCTCAATTCAAAATCTGAGGTCAATGTCACATAATTGATGAACGTGAACTACCTTGGCGCTAATGATTAATCAATCAAAGTAATTAAATCAATTATAATTGACGTATTTAACCATAAACGAAATAAAATATCTACCAAAATAAGGAAATATTTCAATCCATATGTTTCAATTGTCGAAATTTTTTTAAAATAACTTCCATAATCTTTATTACATTATGCAAGTTATATATATCTTGGATATTTTGCAAAGTATCTAAAATATCCTGTACAAAATATCTAAACTCCGCCTTCAAATTGTTAGTACTTGTAATTGTAAAGATACAAGAGGTTCCAGTTTTAAAATTTACACACTTATTGACTATTGCATAAGGCACAAAATCGCAACGAATGACGTTAGAACATTTGGGTAGGAAATCGTTGGATTTTAGTAGGAAGTTAATGAACTCAGCTCACTTTTGGTTTGTTGAGGCTGACCAGCATTTTGTGAACGGGGCTCGTCGCGTCTTCAGCATCGATCAGCATCATCAAGTCGTCCTGTGAATTAAGCCTCGGTTAATCAATACGCTTTGACACCCAGAAGAGGATATTTTGAAAATCCTAGACGTTCAAGTGTTTCACTGTACTATTTTTTCAATACTATAATATTTTATTGAATGCAATACATATAGTTTAATTAAAAAAAAAAAAAAAAACAATAACTTTTCGTCGTAAATGTATAATAAAAATAAGTATATAAATATAAGTATATATAAATATATGTATAATAAAGATAAGTCTAAGAAAAATAAATTAACATAAAAATGTAAAGTTCCAATCTTTTGTATGTGAAAAAATGTATTGTCTTTAATGGTACGGTAACGGTTTTAATAGATAACTTGGAATCATATGTAAATGTCAAAAAGTTGTCATCGGTTGCCATGGCAACGCCGTGAAGTTCTCGCTTTAAGATTCACTCTCATCATTTTTTCCAAACGCACCAAAAGAAGTATGCAGAAGTAAGTAAAGTAAGTAAATAAGTTCAATAATATAAATATCATAATAAATGAAATAAAAAAGGCTATATTATTCCATTGGCACGTACATTCGTATGAATAATAACGGGTGTGGGATAACTTCAGCAATAGGTTGAGGGTATCTCCTCAGATAGCTTCGTTTCCATCATACCTGCAGTCCGCCGAAGAGGCCGATGGAGTTGAGCGAGTATCTGCCGATGACGCTCATGGAGGCCAGCTCGAGCACCGTCACGCCATCCTCCGACACCGCCAGCCACACCAGCGAGAGGTCCGGCTGTTTGATCTGAAATTATCCAATTACGTAGAGCCGCGATAGCTCAGTGTGCTCGCCTTTAATCCAATACACTCGAGCAACCCGAGTTCGATCCCCGGTGCCGGCACCAATGGAATTGTTAGTTTCAAGTGCTCGATTATCACGTGCTCAGCGGTGATGGAAAACATCGCGAGGAGACCTGCATATTTTCGAAATAATAAATAAAAAAAATTATTTCGAAGACATGTGAAGTCCGCCAATCCGCAGTGGGGCCGCGTGGTGGACTATGGCCTGATACCCTCTGTCCAGAGGAGGCCTTTGCCCAGCAGTGGGACACGTATAGGGTGATACTTTTAATCGAATTATCATATAACGCCATCGACAACGAATCTTCAGTCACGCCTCATGTTTTTAACGTTATAGGCTTTACATCGTTATGTTTAATGTCTAGCCGCGTAGCAGCTGCACGTGGCAGGTCCGTCCGGGTAAGTAAGGCGACCTCACAGAGGAGCGGTCTTAAATGGAACAGCTGTTATGCTCCTTGGTTCGTCTGGTGAATGAGATAATCGGGGTCCATTTAATTTAAATATGGTAACACATCTGCAATCTTACGGGTGTTGCAGGTCCATAGGCGGCAGTTATCACTTGAATAGTTTGAACCGCCAGCTCGCTTGTCACTTTGTCACTTAAAAAGAAATAAATCGTACCCCCAGATAATTAATAAACACGTGTAAAAACTTGCACTTTCGTGATAGATATGTGTTAATAAAATTTTCTCAAACGAATTTAATGCTAATTAAACAACTAAAATATTAACATAGGTAGGGAATGTTATGGAAAATAATGCTGATTAAACATAATTAGCAATTCTATTAAAAGCGAGAGAGACTTAGATTTTCCCCTACTAGCTTTCAGGTGGCTCTAGGTAAAATTTTTAGCCTTTATGTAATAATAAACGGTCTACTGACAACTCTTCATAAAGCATACCCTGGCCTGGAACAGGGTAGCACCGAAGAAGGGCCACTTCCTCGTGCAGTTGAGGTATATCCGGACGCAGTCCGCCGTACTTCGGCCCTTCAGGGCTATCCATTTGGACCTGAGCTTGTCTTCGACATCCCTGAAGATTATAAAACAAATACGAGTGAGATAGCGATATTGATCGTAATAGTTATATAAAGACAACGGTCGCATAATTGCACGATTGAAAAGCAATTTTATCTTCTACTTTTTCTATCAATTTTATGTATGTTTATCTATATGGCGACTGTTTTGATTATTATACTCAGCATAAATGAAACTAGTTTACGGATTTTATCGCGTAAAATCAAGAAACAATATTATACTCAGTGAACGTTAATAACATATAGAAGCCGCACCGTTCATACAAGTGATTGTTAATAAATAGCACCACAACTCTCACTGAAAGTTATCAAACGCCGTCAAACAAAAATGAACTTATTTGTTAGTTTAACTAAGTTTACATCAAGTCACGGTTAAGTTTTTCGTTATGTCATTTTGGAACGACAATAATTCTTCCGTGTTTATTTGCGTTCAATGATTATACTATTCGTTCCAGTGTAGTTTCGTGCATATCGACTGTATACCGCCATATGTTACTGACATTTATGTTGCGGTGGGAACTTTGGTTAACATAATTAAGCCATCTATTTTCATGAATTTGGTGGTAACATTTGCGTAACCACGACGAGAGCTGGCATGTGCCATTTACCTATTTTCATCTTTATTATATACATTACGCCACAATTAAAATACCTTAAGTTGTGTTCTGTCATGTTGAAACTTGGACTATGTCACTACCTGTCTTCGTAAGCTTCCGAGTGATGTCGGAAATAATCGATATATCGATATTTTTCATTCCATATATCAATATAGAAATTCGTATCAAAAACGATATTTTGCCGTAGGTGTCAAATATTTAATACTTGCCATACCTTTTTCTTGTGGACAAGCGACCCGCTTTCCAAAGGGATCTCTAGGGTTTCTAGGACCTATATCCGATACATCAATTTAACGATATTTTCTCTTCGATACACCTAGGCCGATATTGGTATTTTTATAAATATCGATGTATTACTTCACTTTGGACATCCCTAGTGCCTCTAGTAAATATCGATTTATCGATATACTTCTTCACTTTGGACATCTCTAGTGCTCCCGTGCGAGTGCGTGCGCACGTTCGTTCGTCTGCGTGAGTGTGTGTGTTGCGTCTGTATATGATATGCGTCTGCCCGGTTTCGTGTGAGATGGTAGGGAATGGTAGAGTTGGTCCCTACCGCATCTCGTCGTTGGTGAGGCCGGCGCGGTAGCGGTAGGGGTAGAAGCGGTGCGCCAACGGCTGGCTGTGCTGCGTGTTGGTGGGCGCGTAGTCGCCCATGTCCAGCTGCGCCATCAGCGCGCCCAGCTCGGCGGCCAGCTCGCGGCTCACCGGGAACCGACCCGCCACCACTGGTCGCCAGTGCAATTTTTAAACCGAATTCAAAAGGAGGAGGTTTAATAAATTAACATGGGGCCGCATGGGGAGCACCAGTTTTCAAATAAAAAAAGAATCATCACAATCCGTTCAGTCGAAGAGTCTCAGGTAACAAACATAAAATAAAATACAGTCGGATTGAGAACCTCCACTCTTTTTGAAGTCGGTTGGAAATAAACCCTTTCACTCTCGCCAAACAGCCTGCCGATACAGTGGAAAGTGAAACTTTTCTTTCCTCCCATCCTATTCCCTGATCGAAATTAGGAGTCGGGACCTGGGCGCGCCCAAGTTGGGAACCGAGGAAGGCCGGATTCTTTGCCCTTCATCGGGCGTCAAATACGGTTTGGACGAGGCTGTCTATCTTCGAAAGGAAGACTACTCGCTTCAACACAAACCATAATCATCTTCCTATACACTGCTCTGATGCCACTTAGGTGGTGGCGGCACATGTAAATCGTGTTGTCCTTGGCTAGTTTGTACAAATGGTCTGCCTCACAATCCTGAAATCAACCGTCTTAGGGAACAAATAGCGGATCCAGAACAATTTTATCTGTGAGTCACTGAAATGTCCCGTGTAGAAATAGATACCACGACCGTCAGTGCCGAAGCCCGAAGCTTAGCAACTGAGCTGCGAAGAGTTTTCTTTTTATAGCTTTAGAAGATACAAGATAGTGCATGTATTATAGTGCTAATCTTTGCACAAAAGACGAAACATTAAAATTTGTACAAAATGTCTAAAATACTTTTCCAGACATTTTATACAAATTTTCATCCCCACCGCGGGAATCGAACCCGCGTTTTTCGGAATCGCACCTACGCTTTAACCACTAAGCTAAAAATGGCTGATTGGCGACAATTGATGGCTTTAAAAAAAATTTAATAGCAAAGGTGTCGTATCTAGTTAATATTCATTTAAAATATTTCATTGCAAGATGTTAAATGAAAAAGTGGTCGTTTGCTGTAAAGAAAACACACTGGATGACATCTACCAAACATTGATTACTGTGGTTCTAGGTTCGTTAATTACTAAGCATTTACACATTTCATGTAGCTTGAAATGTGTCAGATTGTTTTGTTTTCTTTTTTGTTTTGCTAACCTAGCTTTTGGAGATAGAATTCCTTAAGGAACGTCCTTTCGTTCAAGATGGTCATGATGTGTGTCAATTTTTTTTGCTGACCTTGCTGGTTGACCTGGTAGCAGAGCAGCAGACGCTCCTTGTCGGTCTCGGTGCGCACTGAACTCTTGAAATATAACCTGTTCCGGTACGTCAGCCTGATCACGCGCGAGTTCTCGAACTTCCCAGAGCCCTTCTCCCTCAATGCGGTCTCCCACTTCGATATGACGTCGCACAGCTGAAAAGCAAGGTTTTCATCATCAGAACTAATTTCAAACGATGTTTATCCCAGTAGGGTATGCTTTATTTGTTGCTATTGTTTTGTTTTTGGCGGCATAAACTATTGTACGTTACGGGCTGTGAATGATTTTTTTTTCTCAAATCCGCAATTTACTGTAACATTTATTTTATGGATATCTATATGTATAATCAAGAGATTAAATGCAAAAATGTTTACATTTATATTTCATTCTCATTTTTATTAGCAACGGGAGCGCGTATATAAACCTTTTTATCTGGCTTTATGTGATGTTCTAGATCCTTCTCTATGGGGTCGTCGCTGAAAAGCGCGAAGCCGGACGCCGCTGACTCCCTGCAGCCGAGCTCCGTGCTGAGGGTCGACAGGAACTCCTCGACTGTCGTGGAGCCGTCGAAGCTTATCACCTAAACATACAAGGCCCAGATTATAATAGACTAGCTAAGAAATGTTACCAACAGGTAACATTTCTTAAAATCCGCTAAGAATTTCTTAAAATACGGCGAAAGGAATATTCCTACCTAATTTCAAGTCTCTACGCCTTATGGTTCCAGAGATATCGTGATGAGCCAATTATCGGTGGACATCTCTTATATATAAATATAGATAAGATTTACATTAGAAATTATGAATATTTTCGTCTATGCAAAGCTTAAGGCGCATTTTGAAACATTTTGGGACGGTTTTATCTACACATATTTAAGTGTCATATTAATTTTTTTAATGTAAATAGTTGCCAAGCGAGCAGGCGGTTCACCTGATGTTAAGTGAATACCGCCGCCCATGGACATTTGCTACACCCGAGAGTTACAGATGCGTTGACAACCTGTTGAAAATTGGGCTCCGGCCACCTCACTCGCCAGACGAAAAGCGAAAGTATTTGTCATACTTCCACTTTACGCCGGTCTTCTGTGAGGTCGTGGTACTTACCCGGACGGGCCTGCCGATTCGTGCAACAGCCGAGGCTGCTGCGTGGCCCTACCACAGTTAAAAATTATAAAAAACAGAAAACAGGCTCTACCTGGTATGTGTTGTTGAGCATGTGTACGGGTATCGCGTGCGGCAGGCAGTGGTGGTATGGGTTCTTGAGGAGGATGGAGAGGACCTCCATCCGCGAGGGCTTGTCCTCCCGGCCCCCGTTGCGGATTGTCCGCTCCAGGGCGCGGGAGCAGTACGCCGCGTATTTCCCGCACTCCGTCCTGAACGGTCGTTGGCGTACAGACAACGTGTTATATGATCGATATGTATTAACTTATTTTATCTGTATTTCCCGCACTTCGTCCTAAACGGTTGTTGGCGTACAGACAACGTGTTATATGATCGATATGTATTAACTTATTTTATCTGTATTTCCCGCACTTCGTCCTAAACGGTTGTTGGCGTACAGACAACGTGTTATATGATCGATATGTATTAACTTATTTTATCTGTATTTCCCGCACTCCGTCCTAAACGGTTGTTGGCGTACAGACAACGTGTTATATGATCGATATGTATTAACTTATTTTATCTGTATTTCCCGCACTTCGTCCTGAACGGTCGTTGGCGTACAGACAACGTGTTATATGATCGATATGTATTAACTTATTTTATCTGTATTTCCCGCACTCCGTCCTGAACGGTCGTTGGCGTACAGACAACGTGTTATATGATCGATATGTATTAACTTATTTTATCTGTATTTCCCGCACTCCGTCCTAAACGGTTGTTGGCGTACAGACAACGTGTTATATGATCGATATGTATTAACTTATTTTATCTGTATTTCCCGCACTCCGTCCTAAACGGTTGTTGGCGTACAGACAACGTGTTATATGATCGATATGTATTAACTATTTTATCTGTATTTCCCGCACTTCGTCCTGAACGGTCGTTGGCGTACAGACAACGTGTTATATGATCGATATGTTTTAACTTATTTTATCTGTATTTCCCGCACTTCGTCCTAAACGGTTGTTGGCGTACAGACAACGTGTTATATGATCGATATGTATTAACTTTATCCTCAAGAAACTTAACGTGTTACGCAAAGCATACTTTGTTAAATTTAGTTCATGTTATTCAATTTATTGTTTGACTTAATATCATTTTAATAAAGCTTTATTTGTTCGTGGTGTTTATCTTTAAGTAATTGTTCAATATGTTTAATCTTAAGTTAATTAGTGCTAGATTTAAGCTCTAATTGAACGTCAAAAATGTACCACAGGTTCTTTAAATTCGACCTGTAGAATCGACAAGAAACTGTGGTCTTGTCATCGTTTCTTTAAATGATATATGTACATATTTATGTACTTAATTAGAAGCAGAAGCAGCCGACTTGGCAAGTGCTGAGCAAGAGTCACATCCACACATCCTTGTCCTCAAAGTATTCTTCGACATAATAGGCTAGCTAGTAGAGCCGTGATAGCTCAGTGTCCGGGCGCTCGCCTTTAATTCAATATACTCAAGCAACCTGAGTTCGATCCTCGGTGCCGGCACCATTGAAGTTTTTAACTTTAAGTGCTGACTTATCACCTGCTCCGCGGTGAAGGAAAAAATGGTGAGGAAACCTGCATATTTTCGAAATAATAACAAAAAAAAAATATTTTTCGAAGATATGCGAAGTCCGCCAATCCGCAGTGGGGCCGCGTGGTGGACTATGCCCTGATACCCTCTGTGCAGAGGAGGCCTTTGCCCAGCAGTGGGACATGTATAGGCTGTTACTTTACTTTTTAATTTAATAGGCTTGTCATTTAGGTCACAATATTCGAAATCGTTCACACTCATTTGTTTGTGTATGTCACTTGTATTATCGAAGTTACTACTAGATTTTTCAAGAGATTTACCTGTACCGTTATCATTGACCACTGCGCACCAGAACGGAATAGTACTCACTTGGAGTCGGCGTGCCTGCTGAGATGGAGCTTCAGGTACCACAGCAGCCTATTGTTCCTCGGCACGAAGAGGCTCACCGCCAACGCCAAGAGTTGCCAGCCCTGGACGAAGCTGTACGTGGGCGGATTGCTCTTACAGTCCACGGACAGTAGGGGGGCCTGAAACCACGGCTGGATATAACCACATCCGTTATATACCAATAGTTTAAGTGAGCAGTTCCACCACGATCTTATAAACGGTACCATTTATAAAGCTAAGGGACGGACTATATAACCGCTGTCATTCTATTCGACTGCAAATATGCAAATGAACAGACAAGCAAACAGGAGCTAGTAGATATCGTATGATACGCAACATATAAGTCGTTTAAAGTTATCAAAGAAAAAAATGTTAGAAAATATTACAATACTGTAATTTTAAAGGCAGACGACAGACAAGAAAGCGAGTTAATAAGAACGTGGTAAAACAAACATATGAACCAAATCAGTTTTCATCAAGACATATGAAAAAATTCTTTCCGGGCTATGAAATATAGTAGAGTCTAGAATGGAATAGGATCTTATAATTATGACATGTTATATTAGTTATAATATTACTGTTAAGTTGCATTTTGAGTTCAAATTTCTTTTATATCTGAAATAGAGAATTAGTTATCTGTAAAACATCTTGTGCTGAACTAAATCTGCAATAAAAGATTATTTGTTTTTGTACACCATTTTAAGGGTAATTTCTGAAAGAAAAAGGTTATTTTGGTTCCGCATGGTACAATCAAACAAATTTTCAGATACCTTTCTCATATGGCTTTGTAAGTTATAAAATCATGGCTTGAATACATTTTTTGGCTTTCGAAAAAAGTATGTTATCATCATATCTATAAAAGAAATATGTTCATCATGGGGTTATTTATTTTAATACAAATACATTTATTTCACGTTCGATTCCGGGTCAACAACAATTAATGTTGAATAATAGAGAATTTTATAGCAACATGAAACACAATCAAAAATATAATTATTTTGAGAATCTGTGATGCAGACATTTAATTTATATTTAAAACATTTTGAATTCAAGCGTTTAATTTATAGCTCTGTTTTCACAAATTAGTATTTTTGCTCATTTCAGGCATTAGTTTTATAACATTTTAACACAAAGTAAAGTTATAAACCTTGGCAAGACCATTAAATGTCATGTAAAATCGACTACAACTGTCGGAATCCTCGTATTTATTCTTATATTTCAAATTCAATATAAAATGGAGTATAGTAGAATTCATTAAGGCCTTGCATCACAGATACCCTAAGTATGTTTATTAATATTTTGTCCTACAGACCGCGCAAAACTTAAATTCGCCTTTTATAGGCCAGTGCATAAATGGAGTTATCACCGAAACTAAAATAAAGTACCTAGTTACCTAAAGCCCTACTTTAAAAAAAAATTACAACGTGTGGTTTATAAACACATATACACCAAAATCCAGTGGGATTTAGGCTATGGCGTAAAAAAAGTCTGCGTATATAGTATCAAGTATTCCATTTCCATTTAAAACAGACCAATAGCCTATAAAATCGATGTTCACCAAATCAAAAAGTAACACTTTTCACGACTGTAAACTAACTTTACGAGAATTCGTCTGTGGCAGAATCGCCCAATTTCTGCCGCACCAATCCATTAGACAAAATATAGAAGCATTACTCACTTATTGCTTGACAAAATACTACTACCGGTTCGGCCACTGATCCGGGTAGAACCGATGAAAGAAACTTCCTTTTTTTAAATACCAATTAGCGATAAATTAATTTCCAGAGTGTTATTTAAATAATCACTAATTGTACACACAAACGTTTCTTTAAACTTTTTTTGAATTCAGCAACTTATACTGATACATTTTGGATGTCTTCTCTGATTTTGTTTTATAAACGAATACATCGTCCTATAAAAGTTTTACTCGATCTACGCAGTCTAATTAGACCAATTAGGATTATGGATAGGCGCGTTTAAGTTGGTGTTCGTGCTAGGTTCCTTTAAGTTTAGCGCGTATACAGTGTGTCTTTACAATCACGACAATAAATGAACACACATATAGGGGATAACTTTTTAAAATTTTACTATACATTTACATTCTTTAAACATCAATATGTACAGAGTTATTAAATTTTTCAAAAGAAAGAATTTTGGAACATCCTTACGTATAAAACTGTAACGTAAAGTTCATTTGTAGAGGTCACATATAATATGAATGGGTTGAATGAATTTAAAAGAAACAAATCATACTGTTAGGAGAGGCTTGTAATGCGACGCTGTGGCGCGAGTTGTATAGGATGTTACAAATTTTGTTTCTTTTTTACTTAATTAAATTGTTTGATAAATATTTTTTTATGATTATTGGTAAATAGCGTTAGACGTGTGTTCATTTATTGTCGCGATGGTAACGACACGTTGTATACGTCGAGTGCTTTAGTGGTCTCTCGATCCGGCACTATCGCGTTACCTGTATAGAGCTAGGCGAGCCCGCTGCGTTAGGCGGCAGGTCGCCGCTCTTGTTGTCGCCGCTGACTGACGACGCACCCGTGTCGCAAGTGAACAGCGACTGAGTCGCGCACAGCAGCAGTTGCTGCGCAAATGAAATGTTGGTGTTCGGAAACTCGGTGGGGGGGTGGGGGGCTGGGGAGGGGATTAGTGAGCGTTCGTTCCATTTTCGAATTTCTTTTTTCGTTTCACCATTTAGTTATATTTAAATAATCGTTGGTGTTCGACAACTCGGTGGGGGTGGGGGGATATTTGAGCTTTCGTTCCATTTTCGAATTTTATTTTTTGTTTTCCCGTGTACTTACATTTAAATAATTTTTGCTTTTTTTTGGTACTGTTTAACGTGGACTGTGCTTGTGATTGAACATGATATAAGATTGATGTCTTATTTTAGATTGATATATAAAAACTACTATAACATTTATGTCAATGTGTACACATCTAATTATTTGTCTATTAATATTATAAATACTTGCATACCTGTATATACACAACATTGATTTGCTTCATTATTAATATATAATCAGTGTTGTGATGTTTTGAAATTAAGTTAGTGCTTGTGCCAAATATTATGTCAGATGGTAGTGCTACGTTAGATGGGCCACTGTGGAGTTCGTTCCCGTTTGAATATACAGTAAACCGGTGGATATGTTACAACAAAGTGCATTTACCCAAATATATAACTGCATTATATCTAGTATTAATTGAAAAATATGACATTTTCTAAAAGAAATATTTACGAACAAAACCTAGAGGCTGAAGACTATTTAACCACAACCGTAAGCGTGAATTATTTGACGGCTTTATGTCAAATCATAAACATAACCTTTAATTTATAAACATAATTGTCTCGGGAAAATAATCTTTTTATATGTGTTCATATATAAAGCCATTCCATAAACGGAAATTGTCAATGTATAATAATAAGAACATAAACATATGAATAAATTATTATCATTATTATTATTATATACTTTATTGTACACCACAAAGAATTTGATACAATTAGTATGAAATAAGTCTTTAATATTTTGGTAACAAACAAATATGTTCGAACCTTTGTAATTTTTTTCTATTGTGATTCTTGGTGTATTTTTATATCTATAAATACGACTTTTAAATACTTTAATAATATTATTGTTAGTAAAAATAATTAGTATTGAAACTATACGTTAATATTAATAATAAAATTTCATTACTATACTTTGTAATAGTTACATACATGCATTAATAAAATAGCATAAATATAAAAATCTGTGATTTAAATTTTTTTATTCACTATTGATTTTCACAAAGGTTAAAGTATTTTTTTTAGAAGAAAAACAATCTTTTATTACATGCATAAATAGTAAATAGGGAAGGGATGATATACAATAATTTGACTAGACATATGCAGTTATATGGAACCATAATTTTTTAAAATATTCCTAGGACTTACCTCCGTTAGAAAACAAAAAGGTTTGTAGATAAGTTACACTAAAATATCAACTTGTAACATCAATCGTCCATAGCAAGGTGGTATCAACAGTGCGAGGTCACTAGCTATGATATTATGAATGACAACGTATATATGTAAAGGAGTAATTCATTCCCTACAACTATTGGAAAAGGGGCCAAACATTCGGGGAAGAAGAATTGTGGTAAGAAAAAAAAATACTAGAAGAAAATTTACACCAACATTCCATTTGAGTTTGCGACAAAGTACATACCGCTTTCTGCGTTGTGGCAACATTTTCACGTCGTAACGGTAGCTTAACGTGACGTCATAACGTTTGAATTTTGTCCGATTTAAAACGAGGGCATTTAACACTGTACATTTTAAAATTGTATTAAGCTCTTTAGTATTAAGACCGACTGATCGCCTATCAATGTTGCCAGAACTAAACGATCAAGTTGGAATAGAAGAATGTTGCCAAACGAGTTCTTGGCAATTTTATTTTTCGCCTTTGTTACGTAAAGTAATTTCTTTTAAATTTCCACACATTTCTTTCAAAAGCCAATATAAATGTAATCCGTAAGCGCAATTCCAAATTGATCAAACACGTGACGTAAGCGTTACATGGTTTTACATTTACGGAAGCACACGAAGCTTTATGTACATTATATAAATGGTTTGTTAGTGTATATTTGTGACTAACGCCAGATTATGTGTCCGTCAAGCCATTTACATTTGCGTGTTTAGGTACTAAGCAAACTCACGACTTGTAGCGCTAACGGACGGACCATTTTTACGTAAGTACATTGCAGGATAAAGCCAGTATTCGAAATTAATAAAGAGTTCCTAGTTATTAATTATAATGTTCTCTACGTAATATTCACATTGTGATGATACAAAAGATCCAAAGTTTGCATGAGGATGAATGACTTTAATTTAGTAATGCGATGGCATATGAGAAAAGCATTGAAGCATTGCTTGAGCAAAGGCAATGAATATAAAGCGTGTTCAGATATTAAATAACCAGTATTCATTGGATATACAAGTTGTTACGAAGTTAAACTGTTTCAACTTTAAACAACTAAGTAAATATTAACAATTTTAGATGAACTATTTACAGCGTAATATCATCGTTAACATAAATATAATACAATGCATCCCATAATACCCTTCTGGAATGAAATCTGGTTATGTCTTATATTCTTCGATACGGACTTTTATTGCTACTTGATGTGTTGAATGTAATCATTAACACATTGGTGGCTTTAATATTTAAGAAACATTAAAAGCCACACAAATAGTAGTCAATATAAGGCGCGAACAGTTTTTAATGATCATTATAAACAGTTCGTAATTAATAGCAAATAAAGAAAAACATACTATCGAATGCTCCTGCGGTAGTCATATTTTAAATTTTATTCAAAATATCAATTTAAACTTGCATATAGTTCCATTACCATCATTTTGATAAATTACAACATACTTATTAACACATCACAATAACACTGGGGCATTCGTTAGTATGTCAGCAAAATATGCGATTTTATGCGAGATGCAGTTGACTGCGCGTCGTCCCAAATTAAAAATCAAATTTTGAACACGCCACAGTTATTTTTTTATTGCTACAATAATAAAAAAAAGTAATCACCACAGCGATGGGATTCTTTGCAGCAGATGCCATGACAGATAAAAAACACGACGACGAAAACTGCATCTCGCATAACGCCGTCCGGCGGGGCGAACGTTTTGAAAAAAGAATACGGCGGAGGTGTGGACTTACGCTCTTAAGCTTGGGCCTAATGCTAAGGCGGGCGCGGGCGGCGGCGGGCGAGCGCGGGGCGGGGGCGGGCGCGGGGGCGGAGGCGGGCGTTACCTGCACGCCGTGCTTGGTGTGCGTGTGCGGCGCGGTCTGCTTGGCGAGGCAGGCCGCCAGCTCGTCCTGCAGCTCGCACACCTCGAGGCACTGCTGCAGCGCGTTCTGCGCGAGCACCACGTGGTAGTCGATGCCCGCCTGCTCCACCGCCACCGACATGAACAGCTGCACGCACTGCGCACGCACACACACACCGTCGATCGGGATGCGTTCCACGCACATGCACACGCACACGCGCGCGAACGGAACGCGTTGCGCACGTGTGCGCGCTTTGTTATAGTCAATGAAGGGACATACGCACACATGAGCACTTGAATATACACAATGAATGGCACGTACAATATGCGCGCGTTGTTATAATCTAGGAATGGAACACGCGCATATATGCGCACATTCTTATACTAAACAGAACACACGCACGTGTTAAGCATTTCTTGCGTAAATACTTGGTAGTAACTTTTATTACAATAGATTTTTTAATGAAATGTAAACTAAAGTTCGAGATTATTTAATATCGAAATTCGAACATACTTTGAATAGCTTTAATGCCTCAGCCTGCAGAGCCTCAGAGTTGAGCGACGTTAGCGGTGAGGATATGTTCTCCTTCGAATACAGCAGCGTTGGGTGCCGCCATAGGACGCAATCTATAACACGATCATTGAATTTATATAGTAAAGACACTGCAATACGTTTTTAAATAATGAAATCACCATGGTATTCAGTTTTTGTATTTAAAATGGAATGAACATTCAGTGCTACCGTGTCGATAGTCTGTTCTCAAAATCTGTGACGCTCGTAAAAACCAATATGTATACACAATATACATATAAATACAGTTTAATTAATATTTACTGCGTTAGAGCTATACAGCAGCTTCTACTGTCCAGTGAAGTATTAAAAGTTTTACGTTTCACCCGCCGAGTAAACAAACCGGTTGAGTTTGACAAAGCAGCAGGAGTAACAGTGTACTCGCTTCCACGTTTGTAATTATTCTCTGCACGCACGCACGCACCCGTGCAAACGCACGCGCGCACACACACGCACACGCGAATCGTATAAAGTGGGCGGCGTACTTGGCTCGCCGTCAGTCTCCATCAGCTTGTGCACGAGGTGCTCGAAGTGCGTGCCCTGGCTCAGGCCGCCGCCGCTCACCACCGTCAGCTGGTACAGCCACGCGTCCTTGTCCGCCTTGCTCTCGAACAGCAGGTACGTGGGGCCCTGCGGTGGGAGACCACAACGGTTCGACGCCCTCGCTCCAACGTCGCTTGGCAGTTGACGTGCATTGCGACATTAAATGAACACACGTCCAACGCTACTTGCCAATAATCATAAAAAATATAAAACGTAAAAAAAAATCCATAATTAAAAAAAAAACTCAAACAAACTAATTAAATAAAAAAGAAACAAAATTTGTAACATACAATTACAACTGACTGATTCATGCATTCAGAGACTTTTTCATTCGTTGGAACAGCGTCGCGTTACAAGTCTCTCCTTCTAACAGTATGTTTTATCTCTTTTAAATTCATTCAACCCATTCATATGCTTTGTGACCTTTACAAATAAACTTTACGTTACAGTTTTATATGTAAGGGTGTTCTAAAATCGTTTTTTTTGAAATTTTAATAACTAGGTAAATACTGATGTTTAAAGAATGTGTATGCTTAATAATATTTTAAAAAGTTATCCTCTATATGTGTGTTCATTTATTGTCGCAGTTGTAAAGACACGCTGTATAAATACAACATTCTATTTCTCCAACTCGATAACTTAAAACAAAGCCAAGCGAACGGAATGACGGGGCGACTGACCGCTGTTACCTGGTGCTGCGGGTGTATGACCACTGTTAGGCGCGAAGACGTGTGTCTTCGCTTTCCTCTTGGAACTATAGGCGAGTGACAAAAGTTGTCATCGGTTGCCATGGCAACAAGCAAACGAAAACGAAAAGACATGGCGACTGACCGCTGTCACATGCTGCTGCGGGTGTATCATGCCCTTTGGGTATTAGGCGCACACGTCTTCGCTATTCTCTTGGAAATATGGGCGGGTGAGAAAAGTTGTCATCGGTTGCCATGGCAACAGGCAAACGAAAACGAAAAGACATGGCGACTGACCGCTGTCACATGCTGCTGCGGGTGTATCATGCCCTTTGGGTATTAGGCGCACACGTCTTCGCTATTCTCTTGGAAATATGGGCGGGTGAGAAAAGTTGTCATCGGTTGCCATGGCAACAGGCAAACGAAAACGAAAATACATGGCGACTGACCGCTGTCACATGCTGCTGCGGGTGTATCATTCACTTTGGGTATTAGGCGCACACGTCTTCGCTATTCTCTTGGAAATATGGGCGGGTGAGAAAAGTTGTCATCGGTTGCCATGGCAACAGGCAAACGAAAACGAAATTACATGGCGACTGACCGCTGTCACATGCTGCTGCGGGTGTATCATTCACTTTGGGTATTAGGCGCACACGTCTTCGCTATTCTCTTGGATACTATAGGCGCGACTGACAAAAGTTGTCATCGGTTGCCATGGCAACGAGCAAAGTAAAAGACATGGCGACTGACCGCTGTTACCTGGTGCTGCGGGTGTATGGCCACGGTGAGGTGGGCGCGCGCGTCGTCGCCCTTCTCCTCCGAGTCGGAGTCGGACGCGTGCTCCACCTCCTCGACGCGCGCGTCGCGCATGTTGATCTGGCCCGTGGGGTTCTGCGCATCATCGTTCATCGTCATTACCGCCTGTTCCCAGGTGCACTATAACGTGTGAACGCGCATTCGCGCCTTTAGGATTAGAGGGACCTGGATCTGATCTAATCGAGAGAGTCGTCCTTTTCACTTTATGGATACGGCCTATAACGACTGCAACTATTAAAACAAAGGCCGATTTTAGAAAGCTACATATAATAATAATAATAATAAAATATCTTTATTCACATAGACGCTTGCGCGTTCTTATGAAACGTCAAAATTTTACAAGAAATTAAACACGTTCGTAAGTTACCACCGGTTCGGAAAGCAGTTTCTGGTGAGAAGAAACCGGCAAGAAACTCAACAGTTGCTCTTTTTAAAAAAAAAATCAGTTTACAATATAATAGTACATGTACAATAGTCTTGTTTTAGCCTACGTGAGTATCAACAGTATTAACCCCACACATTGGCGTCGTCAAGATATTCAGCAATAGAATAATAGGCTTTAGCCATAAGTTTACTTTTAATTTTTCGTTTAAATTCATCAAGTGGCAGACTTAATATCGACTGTGGATTTTATTATACATGCGCACACCTTGCCCCATGAACGACCTGTTTACTTTTTGTAAACGAAACAATGGCGTAGTTAGTTCGTCCTTATTTCTAGTATTTAGTTTATGTCTGTCACTATTCTTTAGATAACTATTAATATTATTTTTAACATACAAAATATTACAATAAATATAGTGAGTATATTAATCTCTTTAAAAAGGTCTCTGAGTGTATTCCGGGCTCCGATATTATAGATTGCTCGGACAGCTCTTTTTTGAAGAATAAATATAGAATTTATATCAGATGCAAAACATAAGAAAATTGGCCCGCCGAGTATCCTTCGGAGTTTCCTATTTGATCGATGGCTTTCCTCTTTTGTACCAGTAGCAACGTTAATATATACAAATACGAGGTAGATATGACATTGGCGCACCGAAACTGAGGCGATGAATCGCCAATTGGTGTTATTAGAATGCAAATCTATAGACTGCTATCTCTTTCCGTATCACACACGAACTATATCAATTATGACTTTCGCGTATATAAATATGTCATATAATGCAAAGCGGACGGTGGTACGGCCACGCAGCAGCCTCGGCTGTTGCACGAATGGGCAGGCCCGTCCGGGTAAGTACCACGACCTCACAGAAGACCAGCGTAAAGTGGAAGTATGACAAATACTCTCGCGTTTCGTCTGGTGAGTGAGGTAGCCGGAGCCCAATTTTCGAAAGGTTGTCAACGCATCTGTAACCCTCGAGTGTGGCAGATGTCCATGGGCGGCGGTATTCACTTAACATCAGGTGAACCGTCTGCTCGTTTGACAACTTTTCGCATAAAAAAAAAAAAAAAAAGAACAATTATATACCGCACAGTATAGACATGCGTCATCTACATTGTTAAACATCATGGCCGGTTGTAGTATTTTGACATTTCTAACTGTGGTAGGACCACGGAACATTCACTGTTGCACGACACTGGTCCGTCCGGTTAAGTGCCACGACCTCGCAGAAGAACGGCGGGAAGAAAGTAGAAGTGTTAAACTTCTGCGTTTCGTCTGGTGAGTGAGGTATCCGGGGCCCACTTTATTTAAAGGTGGCAACGCATTTTTAACCCTACGAGTGTTGCAAATGTCCATGGGTGGCCATCACTTAACATCAGGTGAACCACCAACTCGTTTACTACTTTCTAACATAAAAAAAACAATCAGCAAGTAAGCTGTAATGTATACGCTTCTATATTGAATAAAGATATCTAAATTTGTATATTTGCGTCCACTTCTGACACGCACAAACAGCCAACAAAGAGCTGTATATTTTGTGTGAAATAAAAAATAAAATAAAAATCAAAATAAATATTATCGTTCTCCTATCTCATCTAGATGGTGTCATGTTGTTAATGGTATTCTTGTTCATACATCTCTGTTGGTAACACTTGTCCTGTTTGGGAATCGAACCGACATCCCAAAGTCAAAGCAAATGCAACTACACCATCGAGTATAATAAAAGCGCATTGAAAATATTTACAAGTTCTGCTTGAGTACAGCAGCTATCGCAATTGACATTGCAAAAGTGTATAGTTATATTAACAATTTAGACTGTTACTTACGCCCGGTTTCTGAAACAATGATCATCGTAGATGTCAACTAATCCGTTGTCAAATGCCTTTTAATTGTTCAGAATGATCTTTTTAATAATCAAAATGATCAATTCAAGAATTTAACAATACTTTTGACAACCCAAATAACATTTGAAAAGCCATTTGACATCTGTTTAGTTGACATCTACGATGATCAGTGTTTCAGAAACCGGCCGTTAGACTTAGAGACTTGAGACCAGATCTTTACGGGCGCGATGATCTGAGACCGCTATTGAGACGTAACGTGTAAGATATTACCTGGTCCCCGGGCGACTTGAAGTACAGGAACATTTTGCCGATAAGCACGCACCAGCTCTTCTTCGCGTGGCCATTCTTCACCTTCGTCAGCCAGCCCTGGATCGTGGGCTTGTTGTCTTCCTTGCTGAGGAGGAGTTTGGTGGCGTTCCTCCTTTGGACGTTCTGTAAATAGAATAAATAGGAATCACTTTTAACAGTGGTAGCAAACGCTGTATCCATTTAAGGGAACGGTCGCGTGAACGTATGGGAGAAAATCATAGCAATCTTAAATTTTCCCAAAAATAGATGTTGCTGTTTTAAGTGTGTTCGAAGGCTCTAGATCTTTTAATAGGTAAAATATAGAGAGAAAATCTAATTAAAGACGCAACCGGGGTCCAGAGTGGACTGGAAAAATGGGGTGAGACTGGAAAGCGTTGGCCTAAAGATAAGTGCTACCAAAACATAACAACTGTTTTGCGATTAAAAGGTGTAAACCTTCCCAGTCTGCCCTGATTTTAAATATCTCGACTCATCGGTTCAGAACGACGGCGGCATTGACCGAGATGTCAGAAATAGGATAAATACGGGCTGGGTGGAATAGCGACTGGTCTTAGGAGTTACATGTGACCCGCGAATGCCCTTAAAACTCAAATGGAAGATTTACAAGACGGCGGTGAGACCTATCGTGACGTATGGATCTAAATATTGGGCAGCAAAAGAGACGAATGGAAGAAAAATTCATGTGGATGAGATGCGAATGTTGAGATGGATGTGTGGCGTGACCAGAAAGGATAAGATACAAAATGAGTATATAAGGGAAAGGTTGAAAGTGGCACCAATGAATGGTAATATAAGGGGTGGTAGGTTGACATGGTATGGGCGCATTATTTGAACGGATTAAAGTTTGGTCACTAGAAGACTAATGAATATGAATGTGGTTGGAGGGTGCGAAGCTAGAGGGAGACCGAGAAAGATCTGGATGGACTGTGTGCAGATGTCTCATGAAATTATAGTTATTATCGACTCAAAAAAAAAAAAAAAAAAAAAAAAACCCAACATGCCCTAAATTCGGGGCCAAAAGCCCTACGGAAGCCAGTCGCACATGATGGTTACCTGCAATACTCTAATCCAATCCTCCATAGTAGCGATGCTGTCGGCAGTGAGATAGTAAGTTCGACTCCCGGTGAAAATCTCGAAGGTGGCCGCGCCCTCGTTGCGCGATATCTTACACGCCTCGCCGAGGCCGATCTGGCCCTGGGGCTTCCTGTTCACCTCCGACTGGGATTTCCAGTATGAGAGCGTGCCGTTCTTAAGCACGAACCTGGAAATTGGATTCACCAAATGGATTTTAAAGTTTTTTTATAGTGCTAATCTCTGCACTTAATCGAACGATTCGATTCCCACAGCGGCGATTCGTACTTTCGAATTCTGATTGATTTTCGAATTATCGTTGTAAAACGATATTCGAAATTGTTTGTATGCTGGAAAGGATATAACAATAGATGCACAAAGCATTACTTCAAATGCTTATTAACTATTTAGAAGGAAGGCGTCAAGGTTTTCGTCGCTGTGGCTATCAGCCGTTTAGCTTAGTGGCTAGAGCGTCAGGCCGCGAATGCCGAAGACGTGGGTTCGATTCCCACAGCGGCGACAATCTTTTCGTACTTTTTCTATATGTTTTAATGTTCACGAAATGACTTTTATGGTACCCAATTGGATGACGATATTTTGGGCTGCAAAATAATTAGTTTGGACAAAAAAAACTTGATTTTGTTAATTAACATAATATATAAATTTCGTCGAGAAATATTTACGAAAAATATAAGTAAAATGTGAATGTACGAATAATAGATCTACATTTTGATTGCACATGTGAATTTAAAGCGTTTTAACTGCTGATAAAAGTTTTCATTCAAAACAATATTATGCGACCCTTCTGCTATGACGGCATTAGGCCCCTTAATATAATAATTCCACTAAAATCACTTTAAAAGATGATGTTTGTGAATAAAACCTTTCATATACGAAAAGTTTGGGTAACTTTAATGTGCTACCGTTACAAGATCGATGAAACAGTACGCGGAAATCTAACATTCAACGGTACATCAAAATAAGAAAGCATCGAGAGCTGTGGTAGGGACAGGCAGACCTGCCATTCGTGCAACAATGAAAATCGTTGCACGAATGGCAGGTTTGCCCGGGAGAGTACCTCACAAGACCCGCGTGAAATGAGAGTATTATATATACTTCCGCGTTTCGTCTGGTGAGTGAGGTAACCGGAGCCAAAGGTGTTGCAAATATTTTATATTTATTAATTTATGCTTTATTGCTAACCTTAAGTAAAAAAATGTAAAGAAAGGCGGACGTCCAAAAGCATTCTCTACCAGTCAACCGAGGAAGTAGTGAAAGTTTACGGTAGCCAAATATCCATGGGCGGTGGTCATCATCTAATCATTTAACATCAGGTGAACCGCCAGCACGCTTGCCACATTAAAAAAAAGCTACTACCATCGCTTGCGCCAGGTCTTGAGCTTGCCGCCGAGCTTCGCGAGATGGCCGCTCTTCTCTAGGGCGTCGTGGCGCCGCGGCGAGTCCGCGCCGGCGCCGCCCAGCCCGCCCGAGCCGCCCAATCCGCCCGAGCCGCCCAGCCCGCCCGAGCCCCCGCCCACCCCCGCCAGCCCCGGGGCCCCGCCCCCCGCGCCCATTGGCCCCTGCCCCCCCGCGGGCCCCGCCCCCGCGCTGCCGCGACACGCCCCCTCGCACGAGCCCGCATCGGGCGGGATCGCGTAGTCGTCCGACATGCCCGACTCGAACGACGTGTCTGGAATACAGTTGTAACAATAATGTGATACATCGTTTTTATTACATGTAGAGATCGAGACGAATTTTGGGTCTGCAAGTGGCCAGTGGTCTACCACCCGCCGCCTGCAGGTGAGCGCAGTAATAGAAAATGGCGCAAACACGTACATAATATATGGTTAGGAATAAATTGAAATATCGAATGGCAAAACAGCAACTGGCTATAAAACGAGCAGCACTCATCATGTCAGTTCAGTTTTTCGTCAGTCGTTGTAGCGTGCTAAAGCTCTACCCGAATTAATAACGATTGTGTCGGTTACTTAGAAATATAGGCCTCCTATGTAATAAGTTCTTTTATTTTTTAAAAGAACTTATTGGCCAGTATCAGTTTTTATCGTTTCTATTTTTAACAATATAACCTTAGACAATGGTGAACCTACAACAACAGTAAAAGAGAAATTTAGTGAAAAAAAAAAAATGTCCCAATGAGTTTCTTTTACAGGTTCCCCTCAGATGGCTTTATTTTTGAACCGGTAGTGTTTTTTATGAATCAATAAAGTGTAATGCTTCTATATTGAATAAATAGATTTTAATTTATTTTAGAAGATTTTTTATTTATTTGAATTTAAGTGAGTTAAAAAAATGTATATATACTTATAGTTAAAAAAAAATAACGCGATTTCCATAACAACACTTTTGATCACTCATAGTCAAGTTTCACTTTATCCGATGTTCGGTTAGTCGGAACTACAAATTTATATTACAATTTAGACCATTCAGTCTTATTTGCAAACATAAATTTGTAGTTCCGGCTGACGTATTCGAATTCCGATGAATATATAGCGGGGGTGTAGTAGTGAATCGAGAACACATCGAGCAGTACCTCTGGTCTTGCTCTGCTTGCTGGGCGAGCCGCTGCTCGAGCGCTTGGCGGGGCTGAGGCTGGAGCTGGTCTTCACGCTCTTCGAGGGGCTGCTGGCGCTCAGGCTGGTGTCGGACGAGCTGCACTGGCCGTTGGTGTTGGCCAATAGGAGCGCGTGGCCGCTCAGGGGGGCGGGGCCGGCCATGGCCACGCCCCCTCCCGCGTGCTGCGACGCGTGCCCGCCTGAGGACCACCCGGTTACTACACCCGGCTCTGGTTCTTTTATTTGGTTTCATATTTTACTTACAGTTCTAGATAATAATAATCAAGTTTGGTCTCCCCTGCCGAGGGCTCCGTCTGGTTGGGTCCTATTTATGTATGTATTATATTTATATCTATATGTTTATTTTTATTTATAATATTTATTTTATATATGCAATATATATATATATGTATATATATATATTTATAAACCCAACCAGACGAGAAAACAAATGAATATCCCCCCATATGATAATAATATATTAAGTTACAAGTATATTAATAGCCGTATTACATAATTTTACAGTTGAATTTTAACCAACTGTCACTCGACTAGCAGTACTTTTATTTAAATTTTGTGAACTAGCTTTGAAACTACATGTTTTTTTAATTGACTTCCAATATTTTCTGTCTATTTCAGTCTTTTGATTTTCAATCTAAATTTGAATGTGGACCTTTTTGGGTCAGTTTAAAACATTAGCCTGAACGTGTTAAATATAAACTAACTTTTGTTTTGTTATGACAGCATACATACAATAAAAAACAAAGATAATAATAGTATTTTATATTCACCATATGCGTTGTGGTGCGGCGTGTTGTGAACGGTGACTCCCATAGACTCCTCGCCGTCCGAAGAGTCATCAGATGAATCGCCCGTGAAAGGCATCGACCGTATTTGGCTGGCGCGCTATACACAAACATACAAACATAAATTATATTGTGTCAAAAATACTCCAAGACTTGTTATCGTCTAAAAAAATTATCTAGGAGAACCGGCAGCTCCACTGTCACCTTCTCACATAGAAAAAAATACATAAAAGGATTCTAAAAATAAAACTACACATACATTTTTCTAGATTAATTAAATTTCATGTCCTTATCGTTTCTTGCCGTTTTAATAAATATCTTAATGAAGATTTAGGTGGGGAATCTTGGATAATTACAGCTATGACCGCTTTTCAGATATACAATAAAAGTGTAGTGGGCATTGTACCAAAACGACTGGCAGTTTAATTCTACCACTGGACATTTAGCCAACTTATATAAAATCGTTAAAGGACTACCTCAGCTTAGTAACAAATAAGCCAGTTATTTATTATATTATATAAAGCAAGGATGAGCAACGCGCGACCCGCGGGCCGCTTGCGGCCCCTTAAACATGTTTATGCGGCCCGCCACGAATTTCTAAAATTGAATTTATTTTATCGAATTTCTCCCATCAATATATTGTTATAAAATTAATTATAATAAAATGGTAGTACATACTGAACCGAAATATTTTTAGTTTGTTTTTCTCTTCTTTTCTTGTTTGTTTTACCTTGCATTAAAATTTGTGTATTTGCTATGAAATCTTTACTTTTTCTAATTTTATATTTTTTTATTCTAATATTTATTATAAATAAAGTTTCGTAAATTATTATGTGCGGCCCGCCAAAAATTTGAAATTTAAATTGGCCCATTAATTAAAAAGGTTGCTCACCACTGATATAAAGGATAAGGAAAGGTTATTTATTATATTAAATAAACCCATACCAAAAAACAGGCAGTTCTGATTGTCCAAAATCGCAATCTGTGGCGGTTTCTTGCGAAGTAGCGTCAATATATATCGGCTATACTGACCCCTTTGACGGTGGCGTAGACTGGCACGGATATGTCCTGGTAGCTGGTCGACTCGTGCATCGGGCGCGAACACGGCGGCGGACTGAGCTCCTCTTCCACGGACTGCTGGAGCCCGTCGTCCGCAACCTTCAACGGATTATCACTTTTCAATTAAGAAAGGAAGAAAATACAATTTTAAAAAACAAAGTTTACGACCATTCACCGCTAGATGGGGGGACGTCTGCAAATGTGCGGGAAGTCGATGGATGCTGGTGGTAGATCGTGCTTCGCGGTATTTTGAGGGGGAGACAATAGTTCAGCAGTGGACTTGAACGGAATGAGATAATTATTAAGATAGGCTAGTCCGAGGAAGAGGCACGGCTTACAGAGGGCCGGCAAGAAGTGGAAGTTTATAGTACTTGTGGTAGCCAGGGCCGCTTTTAAAAGGTGACAGGACATCTGTAAGCCTACGGATGTTGTAGATGTCCATGAGCGGCGGAAATTACTAAACGTCAGGTGAAGCGCCTGCTCAGTAGTTAGCTTTTCATATAAAAAAAGAGAATGGAAAGACTTAAGGAATACGGAACGAAAGAGCGTATGAATAGAAAAAGGTGGGAGTGAGGAGTGAGGAGGAGGCGGTATAAAATAGCACGAGGTTTGGGGCGTGGGAGAGCATTGGGAATGAATATAAGTGCCTTAGTAAATATTTTGTAAAACCTACTTCAATGGCAGGGGCCTATTACATGTCGAAGAATACATACAAGAGGGCAAGGATGAGTTGAAATGACACTTGCCCTGTGCTTGCTTGTCCTCTGTCTACTGCTGATTTTGTACCTAATTAAATTTGTATGTATTGTATATTTTGTGTGTATTCTACCGTCGTCCATTATGGGGAGAGTGGGGATGCACCTGGTATGTCTTGTGTGCGAAATAGAATGAGGTAGAGGGCGTGGGGTTGCATTATGAGTTAGGAAAAGTAGCATAGCAGAATTATGGGGAGAATGGTTACGTACCTGGTAGATCTGCTGTGTGAATAAGCGTGAGGTAGAGGGCGTGGGTTGCATTACTAGTTAGGAGAATTCGCATAGCATTATTGAGGGGAGAGTGGCAACACACCTGGTATATCTTGGCCTCCCAGCTGGGGAACCTGTGCAGGGGCGGCGTGGGCGGGCGCGTGTGCTCGGACGCCGAGGCGGAGCTCTCTGCGGTGGACGAGCCGCCGCGGCTGCCGCCCTGCACCACCACGTTCACGGCGCCCTGCCACGCGGGCGTCCGCTCTAAGGCGCCGCGAACATACACAAGGAAAGTGAACCAGTGTTACCAACAGTTCCAAAAAAAAAAAGTACTCCTAAAGCAGTTTAAAATCCACTCGAGTTCACTAAATTCAAAACAAAACCTCACCGAGAAACATTCAGGCAGTTTTGGTTTGAATTTACCTCCTAAAAACATCCATTGTAAATTTATTCTTCCTAAATGTATGCGCGACAAAAATACTATCGATCTCAACTAGAAATTTGTTTAACAGAGAAAACCAAAGTAGAGTAAAGAAAGGCCTCTTCTGTACAGAGGGTGATAGGGCATAGTCCAGTAAGCGACCACACTGCGTATTGGCGGAATTCAAATACCATCGAAGTATTTTTTTATTATCAATTCGAAAATATGCAGGTTTCCTCCAATGTTTCTTTCCACTGCTGAGTATATGTTCATTGGTACTACAACGGAATTCATACTCAGGTCCCTCGGGTATATTGAATTAAATTGAATTAAAAGCGAGCGCCTAGACAATTAGTTATCATGGCACGAATATATGTTTATTTAAAATTATGTACAAAAAATCCTTGTATAAAGGCGGACTTAATGGCAAAGGCATTATTATTCCGCCTGTCACCCTAACGGGTGGTCTGGACAAGTCGGGGAAGATGCACAAAATAATGAATAGAAAGAGAGACGGATACACATAATTTAGAGACTAACGCCCGGTTTCTGAAACACTGATCATCGTAGAAGTCAACTAATAAGCTGTCAAATGGATTTCAAATGTTATTTGAGTTGACAAAAGGATTGTCAGCTGGTTAGTTGACTTCTACGATGATCAGTGTTTCAGAAAACGGGTGTAAGTTATATAAAACAACCGTTAACGTTACCACGAATCGGTGGTCACGTCAACGGTCTCAAGAGAACCAGCGCAAAGTGAAAGTATTTGCGCGTTTGAGTGTTTTCTGGCGGGTGAGGGCTGCTACTATAAAAGGCTGACAAAGCTACTAATACAAATATAAAAAATAAACGTTTGTGTGTGTGTGAGCACGTAAGATCAGAATTAGTTGGAAACCCTAAAATGCGTACGCACCTCTGCTCGGCGTGTAAATCTCCGCGTAGTCGTGTGTTGTGTCGCCGTCGGTCGAAGTGTTGGGTGTAGTGGGCAACACCACTAAGTTTTCTACAGCGGCCTGAAAGAGTGCAAAAAGGCCATGTGTAAGAAAAAAAAAACTGAAAACAAGATAAGGTAAATAATTATAAAACCATTTATTATAATTGAAGTTCAGGAAATAAAATTGACTAAAATAACAGAAGCAAAGAGTGTTAAAATGCTACTACTTTACATTTACTGAAAAATTTACTGAGTATACAAGTAGCTAAACTCTACAATTTCAATTTCAATGCATCAATTTTTCCCCAACTTTGCTATCCGAGTGGGGTGTGGGCGTGTGGAGAATCTTCAAGGACACTACCTCATGGAGAGAAGAGATTACTAAGGGGGCTAAGGCGCCGGGGATCGTGGGTTCGATTCCCACATGGGACAACTATCGTATCTAGGTATTTGTCCATTTGAAAATGTATATAAAACGTCCTTACGAAACATAGCAACGTTATTCAACAGAATGGAACTAATTTTTCGATGGGAAGACTACAATAGATCTTATATGTCGCAGCAATCGTTGACCCCCTCCACGTGAAACACAAATACAGACTCCCATAAAAAAGAGAGAGAGGAGAGATCTACCACTCACCGCCAGGTCGTCGGCGAGCAGGCTGGCCGTCGTCCGCTCGTCCATAGTGCGGTTCATGGCGTTGAGCGCCGCCTGGCTGGACGCGCCCTGGGTCAGGTTCGTGGTCCCTATGGAGAGGTTGCGTCTGTGCCGCACAGGGGTGCTGTAATGCGGCTCCGAGTTCAGGGGCAGCTGGCGAAACAAACGAACCTAATGACTGATGGATTTATAAATACCCTGCGACAACCCTAAAAGGGTATTCCATTAACGTTGCATTGATTAGTTATGGGGGCATTACGCGTTATATGGTCAGGTAGAAAATGTTCATGTTTCGGATTTTAGTTATGTTTGCTATTTATATTAGACCTATACATGCCCTCAATTGATATATAAAATGTTTTTAGAGTATAAAATGTAGTCAATGATTTAGGAAGCTTTAAAAAACTTAATAACCTGTAGGTATGCCCTGTGAATTGTATGTACTTTGAATCCCACTACCCAGTATTAAAAAGATAAGTGAAGCAGTCAATTTTTTAATTCATTTAATGAGCTTTTTAAAGGCATTTTTCACAATTGGCCTAGAAGTCATTTAAGAGCTCATTTGTGAGTAAAGGAAAGTAATTCATTGGGACTCCAAGTGAAGAAAGGACTATTAAAGGATATACGTCTTTTACTTAGACGATGCAGTATTTTGATAGCTAAAATAATCACCTGTTGGTGTGTTTATTTCTTATTGTTATTGCATGACATACTAATACTCCGACATGTGCACCCACTTAATCTTTTGTTAAAGTAATTTCATTCTATAATAATTCAATAAAAGTACTTAATAGTTCTTAATATAATCCCAGATATTATTTTTATAAAATAAAGTTATGGATATTTTAATTGAAATAATATAAATATTAAATGAAACTAGTTTACGGATTTTATGGCGTTTTTATTATTTATTTATTTAATAAAAACGCATTTAATAATATATAATATTCGCGTCAACTCAAGAAATCAATATGTGAAGTAATATAACTTCAGGGAAAGTAAAAAAAAGAGTATGCTATTAAAAAAGGAACTAAAACATTATTAGCAAGTAGGTTATGGAAGTAGCTGCTTAAAACAGCATATTCGTGTTGAATAGTTTCTAAACCCTTTAATTGTAACAAATTATACTAGCGGGGCTATAAACCCATTTGTGCCAATAAAATTTCGGTAAAGTAAAGAAAATGCGAAGTGAAATGGTGTTGCTAAGGACGAGTGAAATTTAAACATAGCTGATGCAAAAGATAATTAACAGGTGCAGTGAATAAGTCTAGAAATAAATTAGAAGATTGCTGGCAACATAAACATGTAGCATCCTACTACACCAATATATCCAACTGCTACCTGGGGACCCTCAAGGCTTTCTGATCGACGTCTGTTCGCGGCCAAGAGACTGGAGGAAGTCCTGGAACCTTCCTCAGTCCTCACCTCAAGGGAAAGACTCGCTCGAGTCGGTAGAAACTGAGGAGTTAATGATTCATACAATTGCAAGCACCAATGTTGAACTATCTACTAATTAACTAGAGCAATTTGAATATGCCGAGACTCACAAGAATGTAAATAAGGATACCAATACAAAAAATATTAATTTATAGCTTGAGATTATTGATATGCTTATGGCATAAAAGGCAATGATGTTATGTTAAAGTAAGTAATAAAATGGATTTAAATCCTTGAAGTGACTGCTTAATTAATAAGCTTGATGTTACATGTAATGTTTTACTTAATGCCAGCTTTGAAATTTGCAACTTCCACCATTTTTAAAAAGGTAAGTACTTTTATATTTCGAATGAAGATAATATGACAAAGGTGTTACAACAGTATTAATATTTTTTATATAGATTAAATACCTAATATATTTTAACACATATATACACCATGATAGACATTTGAGGCTATGAATAGTTCACATAATTATTAACATTAATTTATGTTATGCTATATCATGACACAAAAACATACTGCACAATTTCTGCTCCCTTGTGTTGCAATATGATTTCTGAGTAGTTCTAGCTGTTGATTACAGCGGTCGTTTTGTTCCCTCAACAACTGGTTCTGCTGTTCTAGCTCACGAAGCTTATTGGTCACCCACTCTTTAATGCGGGCTGCCTTCGCTTCCACCTGTTTCGCGTCTTGGAGTCGCAGCTGCTTCTGGGAAACATGTTTTGTGTTATACTTTATTATATTTATATTATGTTATATGTATACTATTACATAGTTCTCAAAATCTATTTTGCAAACAGAAATCTAGAAAATTAGACAAAAAATAATAATATGAAATGTTATTCAAAATAGTCTTGACACTGTGAAAATAAATTATGCTATTTACTTGCAAATCCTCTGGCTACTGCCAATTTAGTACTATTTCATGATAATTATATGTTTTTATTGTTAAAAAGAATTAACCTAAATCAAAAATTTAAAATATTTGGTTGTAAAGTTCAATACCACATCTTCAGGGCATAATTTATAACTTGGTGGTTGATGTTGACATTCAATCAAAGTCTAAATTTATTGAAATGTTTTGATTATATCTTTTGTAAGAAAATAAAAGCTGATGTAATTTTAAAGTATTTAGAGAATTTATATAGTAAGCATGATGTGCTTATTATATAAATTATCTGTCTATTCAATCTTATTATCATGATTGTTAATAAGCTTGAATAGACAGAGATATTTCATGCAACCTATTTTTCCAATCTTATTTAAGTTTAGGAGCGCAAGCTGCCAAAGCAAACAGAAATATCAAGATTATTCATTACATAGTCAAAAAGTAATTACAGAACTATTAATATATATTATTACAAAATTAAAAACTTATAGATTAACATTTAAAAAGAAAACAGCGAGAACTGAATGTTGCTGTTATAACTAAATATTAAAACTTCATTGTAAAGATATTTTTTATTATTAAATTAAACAAAATTTGTATTTTGCGGTTGAGACAACACTTCAAAAGGTATTTTCATTGATAAAAGGCGATAAAAATGTATTTACACAGCGACTATTTTCGAATGATTATAACAACATAGTTTCTAGATAATTTCCTAAACTTTTCCCTTTACAAGAGTTTTACCTGCATTTTTTTCCTTGTTTCACATTGTTGCGATTAAAAAGTATTTGTTATTCACAGGCTTTTTAAATTTAATGGAATTTTTATTCATAACTTTCAATTTGAATCTGATTAAAACATTTAAACCTTATACACAAAACAGAAACACTAACAATAACAGAGTGGTGACGTTACCGGTTACTTTTATGACGTTTCAAATACATCTAAAATGGTTAAGACGCTTCATAAAAGCGCTTAGATCTATATAGCCTATGTAGATTTGGATGTCCTAAAATAAATAAGGCAAAATTGTTGGTGTAGTATAATATATGTACAAAAACTTGAAATAACGTGATATTTTTAGTTTGAAATAAAAAAAATCTAATACCTGTTCCTCGATTTGCCCTTCTAGTCGCGAGATGGCTCTTGGAGCGCCTTCAGCGCCCGCTGGCCACTCGCAAAGCCGCTGCTCCATGGCGCGGACCTGTAATAGATGTTATTACCTTTGTTATAATAAGTATCTAGGTAGATAGAATTTAGTATTTCATTTGGAGAATTAAGGCCAGTAGCAATATAAAGGAAAGACCAAAACCACGAGAACTACATGTACTTGCGACATATTGCCACAATTAGATAAATCAACTCAGTACGGTGACAGATTTCAAACCTCGGTAACCACATTAGCTCTAGCAACATTACTACGACTTTAAGATAAACTTTTAGGTGTAAATATATGAGAGCTATAACTATGTCGTATGAATAACTTATTAATTGATGATAGTCGGACACATATCGATGATGAAATATCCTTTATCAATAATTTTATGAAATAATATTATTAAAAACTAACCAAAAAATTTGAAACCTAAAACAATATCTACGTATTTTTGTAAAAATTGAAGACAGGGTTGTTAACAGTACCTAACGTTTTATTAAGGAAATCGAAAGCGAAAAAATATACAAAATCATTTAAATTGACTTAAATGTTTTATATGTTATACATTGAATTGGCTTAAAAACCAGGCCAAGGTTTTTCGACTTGTTTTCAAGCAAAAAGAAATAAATATTATGAAACAGAAAGACAAAATTGTCAAATTTTTTTTATTACTCGCCGTCGTCACAAGCAGGTTTATTTTCAACTGAAAGGCGTATACACATAAATTCGCTTTTCAGGGGAAATCAGCATGTTCCTTTTTATTTTTTACAGATGAAAGGATGAATTCGATCACACCATAGCGTAGAATATGGATTATATGATATCAACAAATTGAAATTGTTTTCGTAATCCAATTTTACGGGATTGTATACGGTTTTGCTACACGACGATATTCCATCATATTAACCACAAACCACACAGTGTCACGATATAAGCCAAAACGATTTCACAATACATTACACCGATATCTAATTTAGTATAGGTTCTGGTTTAATCAAATAAACATAAACTGGGCTTTTGTTTTCGAAGTAGCAGGCCTTTAAAATTGTTTGAAGCCCTTGATGAAACATATGAATGTATTGATTCATATGTACCTATTTTCTAAGTACTTATAATCGTATACTTTTAAGTACAACTTTATAAGGACTTTCTTAAGGATTTATCACGTGCTCATCGTGAAGGAAAATATTGTAACGAAATCTGCATATATTCGAAATAATTAAAAAAAAACATATTTCGAAGGTATTATGTAAAATCTCTCACAATCCGTGGTGGATATGAGTGGTGGACTATGACCTTGCAGTACATACGCTAACTTTACTTTTTTTTGTAAGTGATTATTAAACAGTTTTCATGTCTAATCCACCCTCGCTATGTCTCTATTCGAAAGTGTCGCGATACTTACTTAAGTCCGCTTAAGGTCGTGTTCAGCATTTCGTTGGCTTCGCGTCTGCAGTATTTCGATAGTGTATCACTAGCAGTAGACAGTCAATTAAACACTTTTATTTCGATTACATGCACTATATTCCAGCACTTCAAACAGGTTTGCATTAAACGAGTCAAATTACAGTTATCAAGTTAATATTCAGAATTTATTATTTGCCCATGTTATTCTGCGAATAAAACATTATTCATCATACCAGGTTGATAAACTTTATTTTTTTTTTACAATATGTTATTATTATTAGCAATTTTTAACTATTTTCACAATATGTTATTATTATTAGCAATTTTTTATTTTATCTATTTCTAGGGTGTAACTGATTTGATTTATAACCAATCTGTTTTATTACGTCGCGTACATTTGAAATACGTACTTTTTAATTATACTTTTGTTTGTGTTATTTTGTTTATTGTTTTCATCACGTATATTAATATCCACTGTGATAAGCCTCTTGTTGGTAAAATTATAAGAGCCGCAATGGATCGCCTATAATATAGGTAATTTTTATAATAATCATGTAAACCATAAACAAAGAGGAGCAATGGACGGGTGTAGAATACGGGAATAGATGTCATTAATCACAAATGCCGTAATTTGCCTGACTCACGACATGGCGAGGGGACGCCGTAGTCGTCAGGAGCTTTCTATATCGGGCAACACTTATCCCGGCGGAGAAAAATAAGCAATAGTTTTGGGCGACGAAGGAGGGAATTATAAGGCGGCCTGTTGAATGAGAGGACTGATATAGGCGCGTTATAATTTTATTTCTATTAAAATAGAAATCCAATGCGGTTTATGAAGAAGTCACAAATGGATTATTATTTCACTTGTGGAAAATTATAGTTAATATACTAAAAACCCAGTAACTATATAACTCCTTATTTGATATGCATTTAGTCTGTGTAGGCGTTGATCTACCAAGTTTACAAACAGGTAGTGAATAAATTACTTAAAAAAACCGCTGTCACGCAAGAGAATTTACATGCGAGTTAACGACTGATTGAGATTGATATTGCGTCTGATTAAAAATCCCGAGTAAAATAAAGAGTATCATAGAGTAAAAGTTGATTAATATATTAATATTAATCAACTTTTTACGTTCATTATTTCAACACAATTATTTGTGTGTCAAACAAATACTTGACCGGTGTGGGAATAGAACCCACGACTCTCGACGGCGAAGCTAATAGCTTAGAAACGGCGTCATCGAGTTATCAATTACAAAACAATGTTAAAAAATAATATTCAACCCGCAGTGATTAAATACGACTAGTAGTGGTTTAATAATACACTTTCTAGAAGTTTTTAATCGCCTTAATAATGTAAAAAAATGAAACCAACAACTAAACATTGATTTCTAACACGTTGTTTCGAAAAGCTTTAATTATAGTCATTATTGTCTAATAAAGTTGACATCAAGGTGTTAGTAAAACGTTAGAGATTTGTGAATAATAAATATTTGAATAACAGATTATCTTTACAAATGTACCTAGTAAAATATTTCAAACGTCGTGTATTATGAAAAGTAAAGTGTGTTCTTCTTAGATATGTTCGCACATAAGAAGTTAACGTCTTTAGTGTAACAAAAGGAAAATATAATAATTAAAAATTTTATCCCATTTGCCATTCCTACATAAAAAAATACATTTAATGCAGTTGATAAAGGTTTAATCATTTTTCCCAAACTCGCGAAAAGAAGTATAACTTCAAAAAATCATATGAGTGTAGGCATTCAACGTAGGGCGGCTAGGGTTATCGACGATCAAAGTCTTTCCGATCAGCTTGATCCTTTGGCTCTGCGTAGAGTATCTCCGCATGTATCGCGGGGAATGTTCTGAGGAATTGTTTGGATTGATCCCGGCGGCTGAATTCCACTATCGGACATCGCGCCAAAAATTTCATCCACACCACCTCGATGTTCAGCGTTCCACAACAGCGCGATTTTCAAGGCATTTCTTGCCTCGCACAACCACTCTGTGGAACCAGCTGCCGCCGGCGGTCTTTCCGAACCGTTACGACCTGGGAACCTTCAAGAAGAGAGCATACTCTTTTCTAAAAGGCCGGCAACGCATTTGTAAGCCCTCGGGTGTTGCAGGGCGGTGGTAATCACTTACCATCAGGTGAGCCTCCTGCTCGTTTGCCCCTTTTCTCCATAAAAAAAGGTATATATAGCTTATATACGCACCTATGAATGTATCAATATAAAAATAGCTGTAAAAATATTTTTTTTATTGAATATATTGGGGTTTTGAGTAATTAGGTTGGTGTTTAAAAACCTCAAAATGTTAAAAATAACTAAACTTGACGCAATATTGAAGGGAGAATTATCGACTAAATTAATGGTGTTATTCATTTCATGTGACTGTGCACGAGCAATGTAAAAACTCACTGTCAATTTTCCCTAACGCGCTAAAAGGAGTAACACTTAAAATAGTTTATGTATCTAACTAAGTGAAAGTACAGAGTTTTGGCTTAGTTAAATGTTTTTATAAGGTAAATTATTTATTTTTACCTTGTTCTTTCGATCAGAAAGTATTTTTTTTATGAGAAAACTCCGACACTCGATATTAAAAACCATGTACACCTGTACGAACCGATTGCTTGTTGATGCGTTGACAACCTTTATATATATTTTGGAGCCCGATTATCTCACTTACCAGTTTAATTAATACTTTCAATTCACGTCGGTGTTCTTTGATGATGATGAACAGCAGATGGTATTGGCCCTATCCCAGTTACGTTTTTATACGGTATGTTTTAAATCAAAGTAACACTGTAAAATTGTCTCAATTTAACGTCGATTTAAAAGTTTGGTATGTAGTAACCAAACAGTATAAAACTTTATGGAGTCTTTAAGCCATTTAATATTGAAAGCCGATTATAGTTACCACGTCACATAGGCTCTTCCGATGATTAATTAAAAATTCATATACGTAACTTAAACACGAATATGGAAAAGTTTAAAAAGGTTAATTTAAAAGTAACTTATTTAATGGTCGAATTTAAATATACCCCATTTAATGACTAAAAATAAAAACTGTTGCCGAGGCCCGAATTCTTTTTTTAAACAGGTTTTTTTTATCGAGCGGCATTTGTTAGTTTGTACACTTAGGGGTAGAGCTATCAATCTAAATGTTTACTAGTGACGTGCACCATTTGCCTCCTAGAATAGATCAAAGTGGTTTTAGCTCGAATTGCAATTGGAAGTGTCTCGGATGTGACACATCCGGGCTCTTTTCTTTTATCGGGATCGTTACTCATTTGGATTCTAGTTTCTAGCGTTTGGTTAATATTGTGATCACGTTCGCGTCTTGCGACTATGGACGTTGATGAGAGCTTTTCCCGCCTTAATACTTCGTAGTATTTTATAAGATATAAAAATATTCCTTTTTACTTAATATTTCCTACTCTATCGCGTATGGGGGCTACATTTATTTTTATTTACATATCTATACTGTCCAATATTTATAATGAACGTTAAAACAATAAAAATTCCGATAGAATTCTTTATGAAAAAAGCACGCGTTCTAATGTTTTTTTTAAATGCTCATCATCAGACGGTAAGTCTGTTTTTATTCATCGTTTTGAATATATTTTTTGTTAG